CTGATAGTCTGGAGCCAAACTTGAGCCTGCTGCTGGCGTGCGTTCCTCTGACTTCTCAGGGGACATTGACTTCTTGCCTCTTGCTGTCGCCTCCCAGGGGAAAGGGGGCCGTGGTCAGAAGGGTGCCTTCCCCCTCCACCCTCCCCCACCCCCGGCACCCAGACCTAGCTGTAGCTGACCTGAATGCCAGGCTTCCTGGTAGAGTCATCAGAGACACCTACAAATCACCTGGCTCCTCATCTATAATCTTTTATGATGCTAAGCCCCACATTGGAATTAAAGGAAACACTATTGACAATTATAAAATACTAAATATAGCTTAGTACATTTAAAAATCAACAATGGTAAAAGCCTTGAAAATTTTTTCTTTGATGTGAATGGAGTCTTTGGCATTTGGAAATACAATAAGATGAATTAATTGCTACTCATTACATGGGAAGTCAGGAGAAGTATGAATGTGCCTTCTCTCCTTGGCAATAGCTGTTGCCCGACCGAAATAGCCCCCTTTTGTATTTACTCCTGCTTTCTCTAATAATAAGCAAATTAGAGATCATGGCTAGAAAAATTCAAGTGCCCTCCATCTTTTCTCCCAAACCATCATAGAGTTTTGTGATGTTTATCTGCTCAGGGGCTAGCGCTAATAATTGCAGAGGTCATGTGAATCCACATAGTGCAAGATGAGAAACAACATCTGCAAGATGACTTTTTTACAAGAGTATTCTGTGTTTTGTCTTTTTCTGAAAAAGTGATTTTGCAAGCAAATTGCCATCTTTCCTCTTTTGTATTATATTTTTGTATTGCTGGGGAAAGTATATTTGGGGAAACACATTTAAGGGCTATCCAGAGTTTTTGAATCCATAGTCTTTTTTTCAGCATTACATATTTTTCCTGATGTATTGGTGGACTTCCCCATAAAGAAAGTAGACTGGAGTCTTTACGTGTTAAATTGATGGCTCCTGAGCAAGCTTTTTGGAGTATGTTGATGTAGTTTGCTGTTCATTAACATTCCAGATGTAACAGCTATAAAATGGTACACGCAAGCTCATGAAACCTTTTAATATTCTCTTTAAAATTTGTTGATGGTTAGTGCCGGAAGATGATGAGATAGTTGATTCCTTGGGATAATCGAAGGCCGAGGAGGCAGAAGGAGGTGGGAATAAGACTCCCGTCCAGTCTGGAGGCTGATTTCATAAAATGTCCTGGAGTTTGAGACGCACACTGCTCCAGCCGTGTGCCTTTCTGATATGGCTGCCTTCCTATATATTCCATGTAAACACTTCCCAAACATGGCACACATTTAAACCGTAACGAGGAGTCTGCAGAGCCCAGAGGCATAGCAGCCGCCGTGCTCTGCTTCATGAAATGTGAAAGCCTGTTTACTAAGTGACAATAACCATTTGAAAGGTTTTGGGCTGAGGAGTTTATGCGTGACACAGCCTGCTGGACCCTGTGCGGCTGAGGTGGGGAAGCCATTGATAGCATGGCGTTCCAGAAATTGGACAGGCAAGAAAGGCGAGCGGGCGCTGAGACTTGCATCCCTAGGTACGTGCTTTATCTGCCTTCGTCCTCAGGTCAGACGGGCCATTTGTTCTTAGCAACCCCCCATGTTTCCTGCCCCATAAATATTTTTCCACGTTTCAGGCCATGGGCTTGAGTTAGACTTCTGTTGGAAAAGGGAGATTTGCCTTTTCTTTCCCCACTCCCCAAACATTGAGCTTTTTGTAGCCTCTTTCTTTGTCATGTTAGGGATGGAGGGACTTCAGATCAGTTCTGAGGACTCCGTGTGAAGTTGTCCAGGCTTTTTGCTAGGACACAGCGTTCTTGTTCACACATGCTTGTGTAGAGACATACACACACTGAGAGTATTTCCCGTAATCTAAGACATCATAGGTGGTAACTCGGTATTGACTTCATAACAGTTTTTCAAGATAAGACAGCGTGCTCAAACTTTGTAAATCTCATCTGCATTTCAGAAGTGTTGGTGTGAAAACCTCTTAGAATAAAATTATTCTGGTATACAAATGCAGCCTAGATTTTTTAATTTACCTTAGCATCAGGTAGATTAACAACTACTTCCCTTCCCCCTTGATTCTGGGGTGAGCAGTGAGAATGGAGTGGAATGTCTCAAAGTCCAGCATCTTAGACCAGAGGGACACAGAGAAGCAATTTCCTCGGGTCTGACACTTAGAGTTATAATTTCTTCAAAGCCAGGAGTGTGTCTCTGGGCTGAAAATGACAATTTTGAGGCCCTTCCATTGAAGTCTCTCAGCTTGGCATCCTTCCGTTCTCCCATTTCGGATTAAGTGGGTCTACAGCGAGGCTCTTGGTTGCGATCTCGAGATATCGCCGGCAGGCCATATTATCTGCAGCGTTGCTTTAGATTTTAAACAAAAAATTTTAATCCTTTTAATTTTCAAATATGTATTTTAGATAAAGGGGGAGATGTTATTAAATGAGAAGGTAGAGAGTCTCCACTTCAAAAGGTAGGAAATCACGGGTATAGACGTTTTAGTCCATTTGCATAAAATTGCCTATTCTCAGATAGCTAGGTCAAGTGCAGAAAGAACCTCTACGTGAGATAAAATTTCCTCTCCACGCTTGGCTTTCTCTCTGTTAGGATGGACAGCCAAGAGCTGCCCAAATTTTAACGTCTTGCTGTCTTTTCACCAGTACTTTCGGGCTATGTGTATTAAGATGTATTTGCTTATAAGTGGAATGCACACTCACAGCAGCTGATACTTTCAGAGCCAGAAGGGCTTTAGGGCATAAATGCGACCCTTTATTTCATAGGTGAAGAAAATTAGAGGGTTAAATGACTAACCCAAGGTAATGCAGCCCATTAACATCAGGCCGAGGCAGGTGTGGAGCTGCATCTCCAGACTCCCCTTTACAGGGAGGGATGGAGCAAGTTGGGGAGACAGGAGTGACTGATTTGCTCTCCTGCCTTTGAGCATCTGTTTCATTCAGGTACCTCCTGCAATGCTGGGTCGTAAGAGTCCAACCTGACTTTATTTAGCAAAAGGAAATGGCCCTGTCCTGAAGCTGGGTGACCTAAAGAGCAAAGCTGGTGACTTTTCTCCTTTCCTCATTGACTGATTTCCTTGTTTAAAAAGGAAAAGAAAAAAGTATCAAACTTTTGTGAGCATCTTCAAGAACTTTTCCATCAGCCTGGCATAGGGGAGCATCTCTAGCACCTCTGATAGAATAAAAGCGAGCTATGGAGATGTGGGGGACTCCTTTCCATTCGGACTCCGACTTTGGATTCTTGAGTCCCTACCCCTGAGGGTGCACAGACACTGTGTCTGGGGGAGCCGGGTCACCCCGCCATCAGCGTTTCATGAACATGGAGGCCCATGACGGACTTCTGGAATAGAGCCAAGCCCACAGCTCTCTTCCTAGTTATTCCTCAATTTGAATCAGCCAGACCAGCAAGAAGACTGGGCTGTCCCTGTCCCTGCTCCCTGAGCCTGGCCCCTGGCAAAGTGGTAAGGCTTCTTTCTTGTGGTGGATGACGCCTGTGGTTATACCTGTGATGTTATGTTAGCTCAGAAGTCATCCTGAGGGCGTTTATAACCTCTCATTAGGGGTTACGTGGCTTGGGGGCTGGAGTACAAGGGGACGGATCCAAAAAGAACCCCTCAGTGAGTTTGTATTGCTGTCAAGGCATTCCTGACAGAGAAGGGTGTTGTGGGACTGGAGCTGGGTTTTCTGTTCATTAGCCTGGATCCCCCTCTGCGGGGATGATGAGGCAGGTGGCAGGTGCAACCACGGGACCAGCGAGGAGTAGATTGACTGGCACTGAGATCTGCGTGTGTCAGGTTCTGTGGCTTTAGGGCATTTGCACACTTAGTATATTCCACTAACATCAAGATTTGTCTTTTTTGGGCATCTCAGTATCTGAAATGATTCGGCTCATTTTTAAAAAAAAAAAAAAGCAAAAAGCAAAAACGTTAACAGAGGTAGCTAGCTTTAGGTAGAGCATTCAGATGATCAAATGGGGGCTCAGCTCAAGGAATGCCATCTGACCCGAGGCAGCAAAGCCCCACACTAGTGCCTGGAGCCATTCTGTTGGGGACGAGGGATCCTGCAGGCTTCCTGGGCCTTCACCCTGTCCTTAAGCCGCAGCATGTGCCCTTCAAGACGATCCCAATGACCATGGACAACCCCCAAAAGCTGTTACATGAGGCCCATTGCTTTGTCAGTTGAGAGCCAGAGAAATGGATAAAATGTACAGTTCTATGCAAGTGTTAGGCCCTTTTCCAAGGGGTAATGTAAGCTTTTTGAAAATTCACATGGTGTTCCTGGCAGTTATGGGACCAAGTGGTGTTTCTACCTTGGGAGCACCTAACTTGATCTTTTTTAGAAGCCCCTAGTAGTTATTTTGTAGGCTTGGATTTTTTTTTTTTTTTTTTTTTTTAATTTCTCCCAGCCTCTGGTACCTCAGCATGCTTATGAGTCACCTTTGGGTAAATCCGTACACATTGAAGCCAACTCTCAGCTGTGTCTTAGCCTGAACTTTCCCTTGACCTTCACGCACTGACTCTGAGTGGCAGCTGTGGTGGCCACTTTCTTTACTTTGGTGCCACCATTTTGTTCCTGTTCTGACAGAGTCTGGCCTGGTAGAGATTGTGTAGACCTTCTGTGAGCAGCCAGGCACTTTGACATATTTACCAAGCATGAATCTCTGCCTGCACCATCAGGATCTGTCACACACCTGGGGGCTGACCGTTTCTCCCTCTACACCGGGGAAACCACAGAACCAGCTCGAAGGGGTTGGGAGTAGTTTTTGAAATGGGTGGACTGGTTGGTCATTGCCTTTCTAGATGGTTACCTGGGTCATACATTCCTGTTAAAATGTGAAAAAGACCCAGAGTCCTATGCATTCTATTGTGCCCCGTATTGTGTGTTTGTGTAAATATGTGTATTTTTTAAGTGAAGAAGAAAAATACCCCTGCCTTTGTCCACAATTCTTTTAACAAACTGTTTATTGTTGTATCCAGGTAACAAGCATGGTAAGTATTTTCACCACATTGAGTATTCTGTATTTTAGCTGTGCTTGGCAGACTTTTTGGCTAGCTTTGTGTTACCAGCCTTGGCTTTTCTAGAAAAGACCCATTTAGGAAAGGGAGAAACCACTTGCCGGGTAGCGTCCCCTGTGTCCTTGGCTATAGAGAGAACCCGTGTAGCCGTAGACCTCCATGGTGGGGGTACCTGAGAAAGCATGTGCCCCCGCCAGCATGCTGCTTGGCCCCGTCATGGCCCCCCACCCGCCCTGCTGCTTCTGAGCCTCCCCACCAGGTGTCTGCCAGGGCTCCCGGGCCTCGCATGCCTCCAGCAGCTCCTGGGACTGTGGCCCCGTGACAGCGCCCACAGATGGGGCCTGCCCACACCCTGTGGACGGTCCTACCCCAGAGCCACCACCCCCCTCTCCTCTCTCCCTCTTCCATCTGTATGCTTCAGTGCAGGGCCTTTTGGGTTTTTTTCTCCCTTTCCTTGAGTGTGTTAAGTAATTGGAGAAACCTCCCTTTGGAAGCTGGAAAAATAAATACACTGTCCACTCTTCTCAGAGGCTTCCCATTCTGTTGAAAAATGGATTAAAACATTTTTTTAAAAAAATGTTGCCACTGGGTAGTCTCCGTAAGGGTTCAGAGTACGGTAGGCTGAGTGTGTTTTAGCCTTTTGGCTGTGTTTATTCATCCGTGCATGTTTGCTTCTCCGGCCTCCTCTGTGGCTCTGGGTTTAGTCCATGTGCTCGTGGCTGTGCAAGTGAAGCTGCCTGGTAGCCATGTGTTACGTAGTAAGTCTGTGTGTCACTGTCACCTTCAAGGATCAGACGGCCAAGGATAAGGCCCTGCAGCACATGGCCGCCATGTCGTCGGCACAGATCGTCTCGGCCACCGCCATTCACAACAAGCTGGGGCTGCCTGGGATTCCACGCCCCGCCTTCCCGGGGGCGCCGGGGGTAAGTCACAAGCCCGTCCGGTAGGGGTGGCCCCTACAGGTGAGGGGCGGCGTGAAGCCATCCACCTGGTGCTTGTTCTTGGGCCTGGTGTGAGGGCGGGGAGGACCACCTGTGGTTAGCTGATGATGCCAGGTGCACAGTGGTGAGAGGGAGGGGCCCGGGAGAGAAAGCTAGAGGCCGGGATCCTGGGTCCCCACAGGCATGGAATTAGGTATCACTTTGCTGGTGTCCTTCTGGGCTGTGACCTGCTTCTGCTTTTTTTCTTTTTTTTTCCTGGCCCTTGCTCTCTTTTCCTGTGTCCTCAAGGCCCCTTTAAGGGAACTAACCGTTAAAGGGGCAAAGTATTCTATTACCGTTTTCAGTTTGCGTCTACCAAAGGCTGAGAAGTTAATGTTATAATCTCATTCATCTTCGCAATAATCTTAAATGCCTCTCATTGTTATTGCCGTCTTGCAGATGATGAGATTAGTGAGTCACAAAGCGAGTTAGGTAATGTGATCATGGCTAGTGCCATCAGGACTCAAACCCAGGGCCTTGTGACTCGCTCTGCAGTCCCTTCTACACAGGCTGCCTGCCCCCAGGGGGTGGCAGGCACCAGAAGCCTCAGGGAGGTGCACAGCAAAGGGGGTGTCTGCATTGCTCCTCAGAGCTCTTGGCCTCTGGTTCAGAGCTCTGTCCTCTCCTGGCCGGGCCCATGGCGCTGTGAGCTGCGGAGGCGGAATGTCACACAGGGAGCATTTGCGAATGGAGGGAGGAAGAGGAGGATGGGCAGGTGGGTGCGTGGATAAAGCGGCCGGATGAAATATTTCTGAGCCTCCTGTCATGTGCCCAGATCTCGGGTGGGTGTCAGGAGAACACGGAAGAGCTGCTGTCTGGTCCCTGCCCTCAGGGCAACCATCTGGAGGAGCAGCTCCGGGGAGGCCTGGACTGCTAGGCCAAGGAAGCAGGTTGCTCTCTGGTGCACATCGGCAACCACGTCTGCATCTAGACAGGGTCACTCAGCAGCAGACCAACGATCTGAGCCCACTGTCTTTAGCAGGGGTTGCAATGTGTAGACGTCCTGGACAGTGCTTTTGTGTGAACTCACAATCCTGATGCCTCTTGCCTTTTTTGCCTTCCAGTTCTGGCCAGGAATGATACAAACAGGGCAGCCAGGATCCTCACAAGAGTAAGTCCAGGGAGGGGCTAGCAGTCACAACAAGGGTCTGGTCATAGCACCGCCTGGGTGGCGTTTCCCCAGGACCAGACTGCCTGGGAGCTTGTGGGAGAAAAGCGATTGAATCTGAGATCCCCAAAGTCATCTCCCATCATCCACTGAGGCCAGTAGCAGGAGAGAGACTCAAGTTGGTCTAGGAGAGGCATAAACGGCTCACTGCTGCCTTAAGTATTAGTGCTCATCCAGCTGGAAACAGGGAGAGGGGCCCCGGGCCTTCGTGGCTTTGGAGGGCAGAACCTGGGGTCTTCCTGAGAAGCCCCTGTCTGAGAGAGGACAGTGAAGGCACTCCTAGAACCCAGCGCATCCTGGCTTTCCTGGGGGGTGAGGGCAGCTCATCGACAGTCCTGCTGGTGCTTTGAGGGCAAGGGGAAGCTGAGGATCATCTGGAGATAGAAGCAGAAAGGAAGTCCTGCCCACCTGTTCTCAAAAGAACTGAAGCTGTTCGGCCAAGAGAGGGAGAGCCCGAAGCATGTCCCAAACCTTGCCTGGGAATGGTGACCCCTGACCTTGGTCACCACAGGGACGAGAAGAGAGATTTGATTAGATGTCACAGCGTACGGGAATCAGGCTGATGTCTCTCCAGCTCATCCCGCTGAAGTGGTGTGAGGCCTGATGGTTTGGTCCCCAGCACCTGCTGGCCCCTCTCAAGCAGAGAGGGTAACTATCTCTGTCTTGGCGGAGCTCTGCCTGGGCTGTGTCAGCACCTGCAGGCCGGGAACCTTATGGGTGGTGGGGTGGGGTGCAGGTTGGGCCCCTAGCCCTGGGAGGCCAAGGCCAAACCTGGGGAGTAGCCACTGCTATAGTCTCGACTTCTGACTCTCCACCCCTCCCTCCCCAGCGTCAAGCCCTTCGTGCAACAGGCCTACCCCATCCAGCCCGCGGTCACAGCCCCCATTCCAGGTGAGTCTCCAAGGGAGGCCCCCTCGGAGGACCATCCTGTGCAGCTGGTGGCTAGGCCCGTCGCTTTGCTCCACAGAGCCTGTCCGTTGTACCTGCAGTGCCTTGGGCGCCCCCTCCTCATCCCTACCCTCCTTAAGCCTGGAACTCAGGAGGGTCACAGACGTGTTCAGTGCCCCCAGCCAGCTCCCTGGAGTTCTTCAGATGGGTTTTTAAAGGAAAGGGAAGCCGGCGGTGCCCAGCTGGCTCAGTCCGTAGAGCATGCTACTCTTGTTCTTGGGGTCGTGAGTTCGAGTCCCACATTGGGCATAGAGTTTACTTAAAAAGGGGGGGAAAAGGATTTGGATATGTTAATTATATCTCAATTTAAAAAAAAAAACTGAAAAAAAAAAAGGGAAGCCCGATCACTTTCACCAAGGACCCTGGGTCACCCTTGGAAGGGGAAGTAGCTATGGTTCCTTCCTCGTCATAAACAGGCTGAATTGGACAGTTCAGATCTTGAGGGCGATAGGGGATTAGCCAGCCTTTATTATATAAGTAGGTTTCAGTTCCTTGTACCCTCTCTTTAACGAAGAGCCTCCAGGGAAGCCTTGACTAGCAACCCGGAATCTGGCCAGCCCACCTGCCCCCCTCAACACGTGTGCACGTGGGGTCACTCCGTTGAACTGCTGTCTGTTATTGAGTCCCCTGAAAGGACATGCATTCACATGTTGTGCTCTGTTCCAGTGTCACGGAGCATTCTGAGTAATTCTGTACTGCTGGTGACCACAGTCTTAAGGAAGGAGATGGGCAAACACAAGAAATTTCTTGGGGGATCCTTGCAGAATTCACTTCAGGCTGTTCAGCCACTCTGGCCTTGGACCCCAGCCAGCCCCTTGTCTGGGATGGGGGGTGCTCCAGCCCTTAACCTGGGCCGAAGTTGACATTGTGAGGAGCCTCCTCGCGTTGTGCCTCTGGGTGCTTGGCCAGAATCCTCCCACCGCCTGACTTCATTCTGCCCCTGGACTCTGGTGGAGGGGGGCAGCCGTTTTGCAGGGCCCGGTCCCAGCACTGGCCTCAGGCCCGAGGGGAGGCACGGGGCCTGCTTTAAAGGTGATGATTGGTCTTTCAGGGTTCGAGCCTGCGTCAGCCCCAGCCCCCTCGGTCCCTGCCTGGCAGGGCCGCTCGATTGGCACAACCAAACTTCGCCTGGTGGAATTCTCAGCCTTCCTTGAACAGCAGCGAGACCCAGACTCGGTGAGTGTGCTGCGAGGTGTGCCTTGAATCCCATTCCTGTTCACCTTCACACTCCTCTGCCTTCCTTCTCCTTTCCCCCTCGCTCATGCCTGCCAAACAACCTGGGTCAGAAGAGCCAGACTTTCACTTAAGTAAAAAGGTATTTCTATTGACAAGCAGATAGAATTGTAGAGCCGAATATTTATGAGTGCTCTGGACCTCAAACTCCAGGGAATGCTGGAGCTTGAAGGGAAAGACTTTAACAGGGCTCTTGTGTTTAGGAAAATTAACAGCAGGTGACAGTTCTTGAACCCTGACATGTGGCTGGCACCGTGGAAAGCTATTTATATATATGGTCACGCTTTACACCCACAAAAACCCCAAAAGGGTCGGTACCGTCGGACAGATGAGGAAACAGAGAGGTTAAGGAATTTCTCTGAAGTCACACAGTTAATATCTGATAGATTGGAGATTCAAATTCACGTCTTTAGAACTCAAGCCTTAAGCATTTAGCTGTTGCTCTGTCCTGCCTTTGCAAGCCTATCTTTGCTCAAGATAGCAAGTGGTTCTCTTCTTACGGAGAAGTAACAAGCTGGTATTCTAGCAGTTCGGTACAGAAAGCAATGCTTTATGACATAAGCACCAGTCACATTGGCATCTGGACTCTGTCCTTTTTCTTCTTTGCTGTCTTCCCTGCCCCGTCTAGTTCCCATCACGCCATTGTTTCCCAGCCTGGCCCATCACTTCCCATACATACGTGAGCCCCCCTTCTTTCCCACCCAACAATCCCCAGACCCTTTCTTCACTCCCACTCCTTTGCTGTGCATCTGTGCGTTGCATCTGTGTGTGGGTGAGCCCTAGGCAAAAATGCAGGAATCAGGAGTTTGTCTTCGGGATCCTCACCAACTCCTTTCCATGTGCTCTCTCTCACCCCACCGCCCTGATCTCTGGGGCTCCCGACGCGCAGAGGTCCCACGCTCTCTATGTGTTCACTGCTTTGCTGTCGTTCTGTCGTCAGGAGAAAGTGTCATGGATGAGTTCACCATCTGTTGTAAATACCGACATACTTAACAGTCGGAGGTGACCTCTCTGGGGTCTTTGTACTGTAGCTCAGTGGAAAGCCTCTGACTAGGGAGACGCCACAAGCCATCACCATAGTGGAGACTCAGTGGTCCCCTGACATTTCTGTTTATGAATTGTGAACTCTGGGTAGAAAAATAGAGCCTCTTCCAAAATTAGGAGAAAAAATGAAGTAAGAGATGGAAAGTAGGTCATTAGGCCCATTGAGGCAGCTTATTGGGACGAGGAGGGGAAAGGCCAGCTGGATCGCTCTTCTCATGAGGCTGAGTGGTTTTATAAGAAGGGTGATGGTGATGGCATAAAATCCTTCTCTGTGAGAGGCACTGAGATATAAACAAAAACGATTACCCTCCTGATTCTTTGTTTCTTGTTCTTTCTGGAAAGCATAGGGGGTTCTTTGGCCGAAGACTGGGTTTCAGCCCAGCGATGCTTTTCGCTTTGCGTAACTCGTGTTGGTAGGACACCTCGTTGCTTACAGAGTACGCTGTAGTTGATTATTTCATTCTGTCTTTGTAGTGCTCCATGAGTAGATTGTTTCCCCCATTTTACAGATGAAGAAACTGAGGCCCAGACACATTAAACAATTTAGGATGGTTAGCGAATAAGCAGAGGGATCAGGAGCCCAAATCGATTTCATTATACTCTTTTCACTACTATAAACCACCCCCAGTTTTGAAGTTCTCTCTCTCCAGTCTACATATCTCCTGGGTGAGCCAATCTCTCTCTTTGCTTTTGACCGTTTTTTAAAGAACAGAGCTCTTCCCTGTTTCCCTGGTTAAAAGACGATAGAATATTTTATCACAAAAGTTTTGTTTTTTTTAATTAAAAAAGCCTATGGCAGCCCCCTCTTGTGACTGTCCTCTCCATTTATGGACCTATTAAGGCCAGGAATGCCCAGTTCCTCTTTCCGCTGTTAGCGTTTATTGGGCTTCACATTGAGAACCACTGGATTCATTCAGTCCAATCCGTAAACGCTTAGGAGCACCTGCACGTCCATGTAAGGTGCTGTCGCAGGAAGCCCAGCGCGGCACAGACGGGCACCGTGTCTGCCTGTGTGGGGTGTAACGTGTAGCAGGAAGACACACACGAGGTCATTGTGAAGTGTGGTGACTTCTATGAAGGAAGAGCACTGAGCGCTGTGAGTGATTAATGGGACAGGGCAGGCTTCCTTGAGGAAGTCACCCTTACCCTGGAAGGTAAAGAGAAGAATAAGGGAGAAGAACATTCCAGAGGTGATGACTCTGAGTGTAGAAAGCAGTAAGAAAGTTGGTGAATAGTTTCGTAAAGGCAGGGCCCCCCGCCCCCTTGGAACAAGTCCAGAGATACATCATGTTTCTTCCGTGTTTAGGATTACGCATGATAATCGGACTGGTTCAACTGGATTTGGCCTTTTACTGATGAATGGAAAGGTTTGGCTCTAAAGATTGGACTTGAGCACATGACTTCAGAGGCCCTGAAGTAAATGCAAGGCCTGCTGTGAGTCGACACCCTTGGGCCTCTTGAGAACATAATTATACTTTATGGGGGGCATGAGTTGGGGACTGAAAAAAATTGGAATTCATTCAACAAATACTTTTTAAACACTTCCTACATGCCAGCCACTGTTCCAGGTGTTAGGGAACTAATCCTCATCCTCCTGGAGCCTGTGTTCCAGAGGAGAAGACGTGAGAAGTGCGCACGCACACCCATTACATAAGGTGATGTTAAGTGCTTCTGTGGAGTAACGGCCCTTCTTCACCATTTGAAAATTACTTGCTCTTTAGATTAAAAATGTATAATTTCAGAAAGTAATAATACCTTCTAATATATATGTTAGTGTTTCTGGCTTGTGTCATGATTTTTTTATTTTTTATTTATTTCTTAAGAATTTATTTATTTATTTGACAGAGACAACGAGAGAGGGAACACAAGCAGGGGGAGTAGGAGAGGGAGAAGCAGGCTTCCCGCGGAGCAGGGAGCCCGATGCGGGGCTCGATCCCAGGACCACAGGATCATGACCTGAGCCGAAGGCAGACGCTTAACAACTGAGCCACCCAGGCGCCCCTGTGTCATGATTTTAAAATTAGGTCTATCAGACCGTGCCAACCAAAGCTCTATCACTGTTGTGACATCAAGTTGTTACATTGTAACATGTGTGTCACTTTTGATGTGGCTTCTCACATTCCTATGTCATAAACACTTAATTTGCAGCACGAATACACTTGTTTTCACAAAAACGCTTATTTTGCAGTGCATTTGCACAATTTAATGGATACAAATGAATACATGGGGGATTGTGAATAATAGCATATGAATTTATTTCAGTAGAAATGTGAGGGTTTGAAGGGTGGTTCTCATGTGAGAAGGAAGTGAGAGGACCTTGGGAGAAAAAGGTGATTAATTGAAATGGGATTCATCGAAAATGATTCACAAAATTATTTAAAGCACTGTGACAGTGTCTCAAGCACCAGCTTCTCAAGTTGCACAATGTGTGCTTTATTTTGCAAACACAGGGTGCTGATACAATGAGTGTGTAATGGCACTTCAGGACCAAGGTCACACTGAAAAACTTGGAGCTTGTGGATGGGTTCTTTGGTTCTCAGACTTTCTGTGGCTTCTCAGACTTTAATTTTACTCTTTTTTTTCCAACGACAGGAGAACTTAAAGCCATCTAAAGTAAATTCAACTGCTGCCTTTTAACAAAGCTGGATATACAGTATTTAAAATACAACATGAGACCTTAAGCTTGTTAATTTGATAAGGGAGCCAGCAAAGTGACAACTAATTAAAGGTCCCCAAACCATTTCAACTTTGTGTTTGTTTTCTCCAAATCTTTGTCTCCATACAGACATAGACACACAGTTCCCCCTCCCTGCTTCCAAAGACTTTGGCTCTTTGGAGTCAGGGAGCTTATAGGTAATGGTGACAAATGCCAAACAAATTAATGAGCTGGGTGCTGTGCTGGTTTTCATGAGTGATCTCTTTCATCTTTGTCACAGCCCCATGAGGTAGGTAATTCTGTTCCTTTTTATGGAAGAGGCCTGGAGAGATGGCCTGTCTAAGCTAGTCCGCGGCCGGGGCTCGAACACACGCTTGTGTAGCAGCAAGGGCAGGAGGAGGACCTAGTTCGCCGGGTCCCCAGGTTAGGGTGGCCCCCCTGGTACCAGCCATTCTGGAAAGTCACTCTTCAGTTGACGACGTACGTGCCCATCGCCACCACTGAAGACATCGTCATGACTCCCCTGTCCCTGGTGGCGCTAACACCTGTAGACCCGCAGGACAGTAGTGGCGACCGCGGCATTGTGCATCATTTTATTTAATCCCGGGAGACAGCGTGCCCCGTGGTAGCCCATCAGCTGTCATTGGAAACAGGATTGCGGCCCAGGTCTGTTGACCGCAACCCGAGATGATGACCAAAAGGCTGCAAGAGCCGGTTGTATCCGAGATGCAGCCTGTGGCCCGCTGTAATCTGTAAGGCACTAAGGAAGAGTCGTCTGGGGGATGAGCGCCCCCTGCTGGCTCTGCATCGTGTACGAACCAGACGGTAGCATTGCCCCCCAAATCCGGGGTTGTTTACATTGGTGGAAAACCAGCAAGTCATTCCCTCTGTTACCTCTGGCTCCACTTGAAGCTAAGAGAAAAACAGCAGAGGGTGAAGAAAAGAAGGAAGAATCTAAACAACAGAGACTATTTTAGAAGTGGTTAGTAATGCTTGGAAATAACGCTTTTCTACATGATTTCAGTGTTACATAGCAAAGGACTTCAAGTGTTCAGTGCAAGATCCTCCACCCAGGGTGGGCCGTTTAAAAGCACCTTGCCTGAAATGTGGCCAAGTTAGGCAGCTGCTCCTTTAGGCCGATGAAAATCTGGGCTCTGCGTGTGTGTACGGGGAGTGGTGTTCCTGATAAAGCCTAGCAGCCTTCCTCCACCCCTACCCGGGGCCATGGCAGGTGCCTCCAGCC